TGAGCCCGGGCAGCCGCATGGCCCACTTGCAAGTCAGCGAACATATCTGCTGCACGTTTATCGATAGTCGGCCAGGATAGCAAGGATAGCAAGTCCGGCGGACCCCTCAGCTGCAGCCCGTAGTCGACCTGAAATGGCGAGAAGCCGGTGGCATGGCTTACCGTCGAGTTATGAGCAAATTTCGATTGGCTCAGCCGCTGGTCCCAACTCTTGAGGTGATAGCCAACCAAACAACGAAGTAAATTCCCTAACGAGCGATTCACAACCTCTGTTCGCCCGTCAGTTTGGGGATGATAAGCACTGCTAAAATCCAAACGAGTATTTGCCATGCCCCACAAACTACGCCAAAAATGACTCAAAAATCGTGTATCGCGATCGGAAATAATGGAAGAAGGAAGACCATGCAAGTGATTAATCTCACGAAAAAATAACTGGGCCACAAGCGTCGGTGGTACGTTTGCACGGAATGAAGTGCACCATCTTTGAAAAATGATCGACCACCACGAAAATAGAATCAAAACCTCGCTGAGTACGAGGCAAGCCCAAGACGAAATCCATACTAATCGCGAGCCACGACGGAGAAGAAATGGGAAGAGGGCGATACAAGCCCGAATTTGTCGCAACCCCCTTCGAGACTTGGCAAACACGACAGCGACTAACAAACCGGGCAACATCTTGCCGAAGAGATGACCAAAAGTAGGTGCGCCCAACCAACTCGACCGAACGGTCACGCCCAACATGACCAGCCCCATGCAGCTCAACAATGAGTTTCTGCCGCAGGCTACAATCCGACACACATAAACGAACACCACGAAACAAGAAACCGTCAGCCAAGGCATAGTCTTCAAAAGGACCAGCCAACAAGAGGCGCACAATTGGCCCGAAGAAGGGGTCGACGGGATATACCTCGCGAAGAAGGTTGAACCCAACCATAGAGACGCGCATGTCCACCAAAAGCATAGAACGCTGACTCAGCGCATCAGCCACTCTGTTCGACACCCCCGAACGATGCTTCAACACAAACGTAAATTGTTGCAGAAAAGCCGTCCATGCCGCATGCCTCGTCGAAATATTATCTTGCGAAGCCAGGTGACGAAGCGCCTCGTGGCCCGTAAAGAAAATAAACTCCCTGTGAAAAAGATAATGTCGCCAGTGGCGAACAACACGAATCACAGCGTAGAAATCCACATCGTAAGTACTGTACCTCGAGCGAGGGCCCGACAGTTTCTCGCTGAAGAACGAGACAGGCCGACTGTCCTGGCTGAGCACCGCACCTATCCCGACCTCCGAGGCATCACAGAAAGCTCAAATAGGCGTAAAAAATCCGGCAGAACCAACACGTGGGCCGAAGTGAGCTTCTCCTTGATGAGGGAGAACGCATCCTCGGCAGCCTGAGTCTAAGTAAACGTTTTCCCCGTGAGACAGTCAGTAATCGGGGCCGTAAGAGAACTGAAGTGCGAGATGAACCGACGATAAAAAGAAGCAAGCCCGTGAAAGCTGCGGGCCTCGTTAAAAGAAGTAGGAGTGGGCCAATCATGAATAGCTGCGACCTTGTTGTCGTCCATCCTAATTCCATCTCCCGAAATCACAAAGCCCAAGAAAAGCACTGAGTCCACCATAAACAAACATTTTCGTGGCGCCGCAAAGAAGGACTCAGCACGCAGAATAAGCAACACCGAACGAACATGCTGCAAGTGCTCATCAATCGAACGACTATAGATAAGAATGTCATCAAAATAAATGACAACACACTTACCTATCAACTCACGGAGGGCCTGGTTCATCACTCGCATGAAGGTGCTGGGTGCATTAGACAGGCCAAATGGCATGACCATCCACTCGAAAAGCCCCTCCCGGATCATAAAAGCTGTCTTCCACTTGTCATCCGGGCGGATCCGTATCTATCCAGCTTCGTGAAAACCGTGGCGCCGTGATGTTGACCCAGCAAGTCGTCTAGGCGAGGAATCAGGAATCGATAACAAACAGTGATCTTGTTAATTGCCCGACTATCAGCGCACATGCGCCACGAGTTGTCCTTCTTGGGAATAAGTAGGGCTGGAACAGCACAAGGACTCAAACTCCGGCGCACAACCCCACGCTGAAGTAGCTTCTCAACCTGCCGACGCAACTCCTCATACTCACGTGGGCTCATACGATAGTGGGGGCGGTTAGGCAAAGAGGCCCCGGACACCAAATCAATGTGATGCTAAATGTCGCGCAAGGGGTGTAAGCCTGTTGGGGGGTCGACCGGAAAAACATCGGAAAATTTAGTAAAAGAGGTCGGATGGCCGCCGGCGGTTCCGTGTCTGCAACGGGCCCGACACCGAACATAAGCAACACAAACGGTGCTGACTGCATTTCCTTCTCAAAGGCCGTACGAGAGAGAGAAAAAAGACTGGGGAAGGAGCTGATGAAGATAAAGGACGCGACGGACCAGGGTGTAACACGATCTTCACACCACCAAAAAGAAAACTGTAAGTATTAAGGCGGCCATCATGCGTAGCTTAGCGGTCAAACTGCCAAGGGCGTCCCAAAAGTAAATGACACGCGTCCATTGGCACCACATCACACCAAGTCTGATCCCGATACCTCGGCCCAATAGAGAAGGACACCAAAACCCGTTGATCCACCGTTACCGCCGTGCCCTTCTGAATCCAAGCAAGAGTTTATAGCTGAGGATGAGGTATTGTCGAAAGCCCAAGTTTGTCCAACACCTCCTGCGTAAAAACGTTCTCACAAGACCCAGAATCAATAATATACCTGCATATGCGATCACCCACCGTGCATGTGGACTCAAAAATGTGGTGACGTTCCACGGGCTCGATGATGGAATCCCGAGGCGCAGAGCAGGACCGACGAAGAATAAGAGCCCTGCCTACATCGCCCGTGTGATGCTCCTCAATGACCTCTGGCTCCTCATCAAAGACTGGTGGCCCGTCATAAGCTTCATTGGCCACAAAACCGTCGTGTTCCTCAGTGAACAAAGTACGAGAAGTAAAGCCCTTTGTACATGCAGTCTGCCGGTAGCCGATCTCGCAGCACCCGAAGCAGCGTAACCCGCTGCCCGAACGCGGACCCGCTGAACCCCCTGCCGCCGTGGTGGTGGTGGTGCTGCCCAGGCCCGAACCCGCACCACGGTACGCCCCCTGGCCCGTGCCGGAGGATCCCGTCGCTGGACCCGACCCAAACTAGCGGCCCGCAGCCGCAGATGGTGCTCCCGGTCCTCCACGCGGTCCCGAC